GGGGGGGGGGGGGGGGAGGTTGGGGACTGGGGGTGTGTCAGGTGCAAGGGTCCATGAATGTGGTTGACCGTACAAGGTGAGAATCGATAACTGATATATCAAGTGGGACCCACCACGGTTATCGCCGTATTGATAAAGGGCTCTCTCGTCTCCGTTCTATCACTCCTCCCCTCGCCCTTCCATCCGACGACCGCATGGATGAAGAGGCTGAGGGTGACTGTACCATTCGCACATAATTGATTGGCATTTGCCCACCTGATTGCTGGTACCCATGGACACGATCCTAATTCGAGCAGCATCCTTTATGAAGTGCATTTAGTATCACAGTTTCTCTGATAATTGGACGTACACACCCAGTGTGAGGATCATTATTATCTTCAATGGCGTTGTGATTCCTATAATAATGAGAATAGAGGGGTTGCATTCAACTCAAGGGAAAATGATATTGTTTTTATGATTGACAATATTGGGCTTGGTTGGAGGAAAATCTGTCTATTGGGAGAATTTATGAGAGTGAAGCTTTTATGTACTTTGGGGCCAATTTTTGGCTGAAATCTTTGATACACTCCGTAGAAATTTCCATTAAACGACTGTTCCACTTAAATTTGAAGGAATTTCTTCATTGCAAATTCACGATTTGATGGAAAAATTGATAGAAACCATAAATTGTAGTCCAATTATTTCATGGGAATCGATAGAAATCAGGAAAATTCAGGTAAATGACAATAATTTCAGTTCATTAAAAAGTTCAGCGTAATTTGTTCACAATATTTCTTTTGATTGGGAGATCGAGTCGCTTGAAGAAGTCTCGTTTTGCTTGTGCTTAAATATTTGGAATTTCCTTTAAAAAAATAAGGTTTGAAATTTTATTATTTCTTCCTCTCTACATTGAATTCCATATATATACTATTAGAAAAAAAACTGAAATTTTATGGACTAAAAACTTTTCGGAGAGTGACATTGTATGCGATTTAAGGGTAAAAAAATAATAAAATTTCAAATTTCAATGAAAATTCAATAAAATGTCGAAATTTTTAAACCGCATGACGACGACAATGCTCTAAGTCACTTGAATGGTCGATAATAACATGAACATTCAGTACCAAAGCTACATGTTCAATTGGTTGACAATTCACGAATAAATCTTCCCAAATTTTCCTGATTTCTATTAATTTCCATGGAATTTCCAGCTAAAATTAACAGTTTCCATTAATTTTTCCATAAAAGTCGGAGTTATCACTGCCGCATATTCATTTGCATAAATTCTCGTTGTGCTTTCAAAATATTTCAATTTAAACTTTCAATAATCCGGTTTATAAAACTTGTGGCTTGAAAATTTTCAAGAGCAAAATATCTTGTACTCAGAAAAAAAAATTGCGTCAAGAAATTTTGTACTTATCGTACAGACCAGGACAATTTCCTGATGACAACAAAGCGATTGCTCAAACCAAGTACAATTGAATTAAGTCATTTAATATTTTTATAGCCTTTCAGAAGTTATTTTCTTGATATTACCCTCGTTTTTCGAACAAGTAGAAAATTCCTTGGCGTAAGATTTTATTTTCTTAGTGTGACATATTGTGCGGTTGGTAATTTTTGAGCCATGAATTTCTTGACACAAGTAAAGACGTACTTCCCAAACAACTCTTGTCTTCTGAGTGCAACGTGTTGTACTCCGCGTTATTCCCCACATTTTACACGCTTGTTTCAACTGCTCTACAACCTCCAGTTTCCCAACGCTCTGGCTAAAAGACGAAATGATTTGAGTAATGATTTGAATAAGACATACCTATCATACATGTAATTTCCACATTTCTACCTTCCTCGTAAGCCCACGTAGACCCCAGCACTCGTTGGAAGAAACTACATTATGTATCAGCGGGTGAAATCGTAACTTTCTCCGTAACTCTGTTTCTCCCAGAAAACTTTAAACTTCTCCCACTGAGAATACACGGAATTAAACGTTTCTGCTGTATGTAGTTGCAGTGGGAATTGTTTCCCACAAGCCAGTGTCCATGTTCAACATTTTTTCCCCAAACCCAGTCTTTATCCCTCCGTTATATAATACAATTTTCATCAACTGCAGGTAAAAACCCAAATGTTCTGTTCACCCCACAAGTGACCCTCAGTACCGGTCCAGAGGAGTTCTTTTTTTTGTATAGACTCGAACGGTATCCCCAGACATTCTTTAAGAATGAAATTTACGCAGAGAACTAGAAAAATTCTGTTTTTAGGTATCTGCAGCATTTTCAAATTTAGCAAATGTTACTGATTTCCTGGAAATTGGAGTGTGTTGCTAGTTTTCAGTGACACAATCCTAAGTCTTAGGAATTTTGTCCCTTAAGTTGAGTTATTGACTCCCAGAGTGGGAAAGCACCGCACTGTTAAAAATTTTGGGCTGACATTTCAGGTGCACTTGGAAATTTTTATCGCATTATAAGGTAACTGAAATTTAAAGGAATTGTGAATCTTTGAAAATTCAAAATTTCATGGAAAATCAGTGAACATTGCAAATTTTAGTTCAATTATACCGTGAAAATTAATTGGAATGCGAAAAATTCGGGTAAATATGTTCTTAAATTTTCAATTGATTAGATATTCCGCGTAATTTGGCGCTGAAGGCTCATATTGTCATTGAAAATTTAGATAAGTTGGAAAAATCTCCCCTTCCTGAGGCTCAAAAATGTCGAAATTCACTGAATTTTCTGTATACTGTTGAAACAATTCGGCTGAATTTGCTGGAAAAAGATCTTGAAGTCAACGGAATTCAAAGTTTCTCTGAAAATTTAAGTAAAGTCGTCGGTAAAGTCCCAATTCTGTTGCAGCAGAAAGACGGAATTCCAAAATTTACATGAATTTTCAAGTGAAAATATCAATTCACTGCCAACTTCCCTTGAATTTTTGGAGAATTCCTTTAAATTTCTTCGAATTCCATGAAAATTCAGAGGAGTTTGGAATTCAAGGAGAGATCTCTCACAATTATCCTGATTTTCATTATTTTTTCCAGAATTAAACTAAAATTTACA